GAAATTTTTGAATCTGAAAGAGCGATTCAAAAACTATTAAAAAAGACAAGAAAACAGATATTGATTGAAAGTATCATTCTCTGATACCAAATGTAGTGAGTTTGAATTGAGTATAAAGAACAAAATCAAGAACAGAACGTGTTAAGAACACAATCGTAAATAAGTTATGTTTGGCTCTGATTAGTCTAAAAGAGTATACAAGTACAAGAGAAAGAAAATGAATGAAGTGCGCTAGAGCTGCTCTCTACTTCTATACTGACCCTATTTATAGGGTGATACAGACTCACAAAAAATATGTAAGGACTAGACATTACGCTTCGACATCTAATAGTGTCTTACAAAATACATACATAGCGAAGTGCTAGACTTCGACACTACACAGACCAAATAAGACTTCGACACCTCACTAGACATTTCGACCCTAATAGAGTTTCGTCACTAACTCTTCTTTTTCACTCAGATCGTCCATATATTAGGTTTTTTAGCCGTTTTCGTCCCTAACAAATATAAAATGGCCTTTATATCTTTTCTATTTAGTTTTTAGCACTGTTGTAAAAATCCCGACTAGGTCCCGATTAATCTCTAAGCGCTACTCGGCCGACTAGAGGGCGCCTAGTGATTAATCTCTGCATACATAATGAGTGAAACAATATAAAACAATGAAATTTTAACACATTGGAGAAGTTAAATCTCAATAAAACTATTTGAGGTATGATTAGTGTTGTATTGATCATATTAACCTATTTTGTTATGATATTGGTGGTATTTACGAACTTTAATATGATATTTGTCAATTTAATTTTTTAAAATTCAACAAATTAGCATTTAATTGTCCCCGATTAATCCCCCAATTAATCTCTGCCGATTAATCTCTTAACCACAATTCACCGACTAGCTAACGTCGAGTGTTTTTTACGACCTTGGTTTTTAGTTTATTTTATTATTGATTTTAAATTTTATAATAATAAGAAGAAATTACAAAAATGGTCAATGTACTTGGCAAAACATACAACATTTGGTCCTCATGAGGAATTTCTTATAAAGATTTTCCTTAACTAAAAACATTATATAGACGGTCCTTACAGATAAAACCGTTAAAAATAGGATCTAGTTATTAGTGAAAATATCAATATGCCATTCTGACTCTTTTTTTTAATATAATTTAAAAACTAGTCCCCCTACGTAAGATAGCTTTTAGATTTGGAAAGTTTTGTTTAAACTTTAAACTTTAATGCCAAACAAGACTTTTTTGTTCAAAATGAAACGTTTTATCAAACTATAGAAGATAGAAGCTCCAAAACACTTCAAACGTTATGTACCAAACACGCCCAATATCTTCATCACAAAAGAGGGGGCATTTAAAAAAAATAAATAATAATAATAATAACTAGCTGTGAAACCCTGCTTCGCGGGGTTCGGTTAAGACCAGAATTTTACACTTTTGTTTATCGGTTACGTATGTGGTGTAGTCATAGATAGTGAAAAGTATGCAGGGGCATTTTCGACAAAAAAATGTTAAAATCACGATTTTTTTAGTAAAAGAACAAAGGCCAAAAGTTGTTTTTTCGGAGAGTTTAATAACAATGTAAAAGCTGTACAAATTTTTTTAAATGAACAATAAAACACAAGTTGAAAGAATGTAGCTTCAAAACTGCTGCAAGTATATTATCAGGATAAGTATCGTTTTCATTCGCAAAGGGGAGATCGGTAGGTGCTCTGGATAAACGACAAAAATAAGGAAAAAGGGAAAAAAAATTACAGAAAGATGCATCTTCAAAGTAGTCACAAGTGATTCCATAGGGTTTCACCTGTTTGGTTGGAAAAATATGACTACTTTCAAGATGCATCTTTTATATCAAGTAAACAGTTATGTTATATGTAACATGACAAGAAAAAATGTGGCAAGTTTAATCTTTTTCAGGTGTAAAAAATTTAGACGGGTAATGGAAAGGATAAACTTACTTGGGATTTGCTAACTTCTGAAGTCAAACTTTTAGGTCAACTATATTCTTCTGCAAGGCTGGATAAAAATCAAATGGAAAATAAGTTTAATACATGTACATATACATTCTTCTAATCATTGAAGCCATATATCAATTTATAAGCCTATAATTTGAGTACATAGCTACATGATCATCATAATTGCCTTCAACAGGTAGTTAATTTCAATGAAAAATTGAAGAAAACGGATGAATACCTGTAATAAAAAGAAAAAGAAAAAGAGATTGATTCAAGTAAAAAAGAATGAGAAATCAATCACTAAATGCAGCTAAAATGAACATAAAAACTGTATTTTAAATAAAAAAAATTCCATTATCATAATTTATCATTCTAAAGTGTGACTTTTACTAATATTGTAATGCTATCTTTTCCTCCTTGTTTTCTTTGATTTTTATGGTGGTCAAGTCAGTATTTTCTGGTTTATGTAACTGCTCCTTCAACACGACCACATGGTTTTACAAATGCAAATCTCTTTGAATGGATAAAAACTAAGATCGGTTAGTTATATTAATACATGCAAAATAGAATAAAAAAAAACAGATAACTGTTAAAAGAAAAGATTAAAGATTAATGGGTGAGCAAAAAGTCATAACTAACCTCCAAATATTTCTCAGCCATTGGCCTTGAACAACCTGATTTCAGCGAATGGTGCAGGGGTTGATGTTGAACCCAGAACCCAGAGTATAAACAACATGTATGTCTTCTGCTTAATCATTAAAATTTAAAAGGTTAATTCAATTTACAAAAGTTTTCCTTTTATAATTACTCGTCATGTAGAAGAAGACCTCCTGTATAAATTATAATCGGTTCTACTGAGGCGGCAACTGCATTTTTATACCATTTTCGTCAGAAGAAATAAGTCAATTACTTACTTTACTTCCAAAACCAAGGGCATCCAAAGCACTCAACCTGAAAAAGGTCAAAAGATTATCCAAAACAAAATGAGTATACAAATATAATGATCTAACAGAAAAACGAAAGAAATATACTATATCAAACAAAGGAAATTATTATTACTTACTTTTTTTAGCACTAATAAAAACCTCAACACCAGCATCAGACTGAGTAAGAACAATAATAAAATCCTTAAACACCATCATCATGTGTTTAGAGAAGAACAAAACGCATACATGCTACATGTGCTGCAGCCATATCAATTGGATGGGTTCATCAAAAATGTTGATGAAAAAGAAGAATCGGCAAGCAAAAACGGGATATTAGAAAATTATGCATGATGATAAAAAAATTAATGTATGAAATTATAAATTATAAAATAAATAATATATGAATAACTATTAAAATTGTTAAAGTGAATATTGAACTTTAAAATGTAAATAAACAAAAGCCGACAAAACTCAAAGTCTTGGTCATTTTTTGTAATTTTGTTTTTCTAGTGACAGGGCATTCCAGTCATTTACAGGAAACTTTTACCTTTTAATCCATTCCATTCCCATTTTGAGGGAAATGTTATATATAATGATGAAACTTGAAACCTCCATCGTGAAAATCCCGACCTGAAAGTTGACATATATCCATGCCAAAATGGAACTCGATTGATTCATCTTCTTCTTGGAACCATGAATTTTGGAACAAAAATTCTGCAAACAAACCAAAACTGATGATAAATTTCTTGGTAAATAAACTTGCAATAGATGTTGATCAAGAGGCTTTTTGAATCTGCTACTCGGAAAAAAAAAAATCAAAAGTGAGAAATTTTACCAATAATATATAAATAAATAAAAATAGATATTTTGACCAATCAAATAAATAAAGTGACTAACCTGATGTAAGTTTTTAATTGGCAGCTTTTACCATTTCATACCAAAATGTCGAAAACAAATGAAATCAATTAGCCAAAATTTATTTGGAATCATAATAAACAGGTCAACTGAAAACAATTTTTGTGTAGTATGTATGGTATATCATTATCAATTGCAATTCTAAGAAAAACTAAATGACTGCAAAATATATAAAACACATACAAATAAAAATAAAGAGGGCCCATTCCATGAACATGCTAAAAACTAAAGCTGCATTCAATGCATACAAAAAGGTAATAAATAAATATTTATGAGTAAAAGTTGCATCAGCAAACAGTAAAAATGTAAACCTGACAATAGAGGGCGAACACCTTGAAATCTCCATTGACATTATCGAACCAAACAATTAGCCTGAACAAAGGCACAACATTCATGTAAGTACCTGAGGCTAAGTTCTTATTTCAACAGTAAATTTAATAATGATACAAAAATTTAAAGGCACCTGATCATGAACACGGAATTGAAAATTGCAAAGCTATTGAATTTGTTGTTCATAAAATACTTTTCGCTTCAAACACTCTGTATTGCAGCTGAATAATTCCATAATGAGAAACAACATATTTAGAATAAATTGACTTTGCAAACAATAAGAGATTAAGAGTGCACAGAATAATAAGGTTAAATATTAATACCCCTTTTGTTTTTCGCTCTAGTGAACTCCTTTCTCTGTTCAACCTTTACACCAACTTTCTTCAGAAGCACTTTTTCTTTCTTCTCTAGCATTTCAAGTGTCTGCAGAAATATTCAATAATTCAATATAAAAGAAAAAAAGGGGAAAAACATTAGGATCAATCCATGATTTAACACAACAATAATTTGAATCAAGAAAAGCATTTGTCCTCAATCACAAGTTACAGAGATCTGGTGAAGTTACATTGACCATATGTGCAAGCAATGATGTAACAGACCAAAAATCTCTGTTTGGCATTTTGACAAACAGTTGGTGGGCATAATTCAGTTGAGGCTTTACTGAGCTTTAGAATGGAGAATCAAAAAACCAACGAAATCAAATATGAAAAAAAGAGGTCTGATGCTTCTTTAGCAGTTGAAGAACAATTTTTTTAGGTAGTTATTGCTCCCTCCTATCATCGTTTTAACAATCATACAAAAACTTTACCCTAAATAACAAAATAAACTGATTTCTGGGTTGTAGTCATCGACGAAGCAATCAAGGCTCGATCAGTGAAGGAATGGAATAAGGAAATCAGAAGATGAAGCTATATTCGCACACCATGAGTTCTTGGGAGAATCACCTAGTTACCCAATTTTACTGAATTAGAGCAGAGAGGGAGAAAGAAAGAAGAATAAGAGGAAAATCAGAGACGTCAACTGACCTGTAGGGACAATCGGTGCTGGAGAGCGACGGTGGGTTGGACCATGGTGGTGAGCGACGTTACCTGGACTAAATTGATCGGAACTCGTAGCGATGGAATAGAACTGCCACGAAGCAATCGATTTGCGACACCTGAAGACCACAACGCCTCCAGTCACCGCCACCAGCAACCCACGTCGCCGCACCACCAACACCAGCAGCGGCGGAATGCGTTCTTGGTGCTTGCTGCTTCGCTGTCGAAATAAAGTGGATAAAGCGATGGTGGTTTGGAGTAGCAGGTGTGAGACGTTAGAGGGGACACGAATCGGTTTAGATAAGACATAGTGGAGTAATATGATTGGGGAAAAGAAACGGTGGAAGCCAAGTGGAGTTTCGATCATGTGTGGTTAATGGCGAGAAAAGTATGAAGCAGAAATATGAGAAGAATCCAGAACATATCGATCTGTCGTCAACACGTGTAGACGCAATACAGTGGGGAAGATAAAGACGTGGCAGATTGCTAACACGTATAGACAAAGAATATACGTAATGTCAAAATATGCCCCAAATCGACACAAGGACCATTTTTGCCAAAAACTTGGCCAGTTCACTATTCATGTTGGTGAACAACTTTAATATATACTAGAAAAGATTCCCCGGCGTTGCCGGGGTCGGAAGGTATTGCTTTGTAAAGTAAAGTAGCATGTTGGTTGCTTTTTGTCCGTTAATGTGAGGGTAATTTGGTCTTTTCAGGTAGTAGGGACTGAATTTGTCACCATGTTTATTATCACCATGGGTAAACCATAAACAATGGTGTGATAAGGAGTGGTGGATGCGACGATACAAAAAGTCTTTGTATCATCACCACACCAAGAGTGGGTGTTTTTGTATGGCCATATGTGTCAACTTAGCATCACGTTGTTTGTATAATGAATGGTTAATAAAAAAATTAAATAACAATTTTGGTTTATGTGGTTTACACCAATTTCAGTTTAAGTCCATGTTTTTAAAAATTAATACAGTTCGTCCTTATGGTTTCCAAAAGTTGGACATGCGTTCCTGCAACTATGACTGTTAATGCCCTCTGTTAGCTACATATGAAATGATGAGATTGTTTTTGTTTTTGTTTTTTTTCTTATTATATATATTTTCTAATTTAAATAAAATGAACCATACCCACAACCCTCATTCCTCAAACATGTCATTACTCTGCTAGCCTCCATCAACAACCATCGACTACCATCACTACTCTACTCGTCGTCGTTGACTATCGTCGCCGACTCCACCATTGATGCCACCGACCCCACCTCCACCACTGATCACCACCATTAACATCACCGATTACCACCGCCGCTACAGATATCATCACCACCACCGAACTAAAATATAACCTAAAACTAAAACCAAATTGAAAATTCTATCTTACAAATAAAATAATATTGTTAAATACGAAGGAGAAATCTAACGTAATCAAAAGTATAGATGGAAAGACAAATTAAAAAACCAAAACATAGCGATAAAATAGTTAGGTCCCATTACACTACTCTCATAACAACCAAATTCAACCCAATTACTTATTAGAAAAATAATTAAATAATTTATCTATCTTACATGTACACAACTCAATTTAACTCAACTTCTTACACTTATTAACAATTCAATCCAACCAAACCTCATCCAAAAGTTTATATAAAATTAAAATCAAAAAAATATATGAATACTGGTATCATTTTGTAAAGAATTTTATTTTACGTGGTGGAGACCGCATGAGAGCCTTGAGCCCTTGACATTAGCTAGAGTTAAGAGGATGCGGATCGGCAAGGCGAATTGGAGATGCCAAGAAGGGAGAGAAAAAGAAATTTTGAAGCTTGCTAAAAGCTTTAGGGTTTTTTTTTCAAAATTTTACAAAAAAATAGTTCATGAGGTTATCAATAATGTAAATAAAAAAACTAATAATAATTATTATTATGTATGACGGTTATTTTATAATCATACATACAACTTTTAAAAACCATGAAAAAAGTGTCATCAATTTTTAACTAATTGGACTTAAACCTTAGATAAACCAATTGGACCAAAACTATAATTTCAAAAATGTTAAATTTGCTCGATTCACGTGTATTGGAAGGATGGTCCAGCCTTTTAAAGGAAATTCTTTGTCCAAAAGTAAAAAAGAAAAAACAAAGGTCTCATGGAATTCAAAACTTGTAAAGCATCCAATATTGACGATTGTACGTCATATCAGATTTAAGTTGACCTTCTCAAAGCAGCTATAATTCTCTCACTGTCAAAATCATGTCTGAGCCATGGATACTCTCTGCAAAGTTACTGTTTGGGATCATTTTAATGCATACATGTCTCAACGGCGTTAATTCCATACCAGCCGCCGATGAGATAGTGAAATTACCAGGCCAACCGCCGGTGACATTCAAGCAATTTGCAGGCTACATCTCCCTCGATGAAGCAAAACCGAGATCTTTGTTTTACTACTTTGTTGAAGCTGAATCCAACTCATCTTCCAAACCGCTTGTGCTTTGGTTAAATGGAGGTAATTCTCGCTATATTTCTTCACTCCAAACCTTATGCATAACGATAACGCGTGAAGCTTTTGGTTTCAATTTTTTGCAGGACCTGGTTGTTCGTCTGTTGGAGAAGGGGCTTTTGTCGAGCATGGTCCTTTTAAACCAAGTGGTAGTGTTTTGGTTAAAAATGAATATAGCTGGAATAAAGGTATACAGAATCTGCATTTAAGTTGAGAGAATTCTGCAATAACTGTATATTTAATGTTGAGAGTATTAATTGCAGCATTAAATGAAGTTATAGATTTGCCCTAAAACATTGATTGATACTCATGATGATTCGTATATCATAATGAATCTCTCATGATAGATTACCAATGGCCTGCAACAACTACGCTTTCCATGTATCTAAAATACAGCTTTGAATTTGAATTATTACTATCAATTTGTGTCAAATTGGGCAAATTATGTCATGAATGGCTGAGGATGGATGAAGTATTATTTTCAATTAACAAATTTTCTGTGTTTTATAAACATCCATGGATATCTTAGATGAAAGCTTGTATTAATTATACATATTTTGAGGAAATAATTTTGGGAATTCCTTGATGTTTTGACAGAGGCAAATATGTTGTACTTGGAATCACCAGCAGGAGTGGGATTCTCTTATTCTGTTGATAAGTCCTTTTATTTATCAGTGAATGATGTCATTACAGGTTCTTAATTTACTTCTTTTCCAGAGTGTACATATGATTCTATATTATTTTATACTATAACTATGAACAAACTGTTTCTAATGATATTTCATCATTTCAGCTCGTGACAATCTTGATTTTCTAGAGAAATGGTTTGAAAACTTTCCAGAGTACAAGAATAGAGACTTTTACATCACAGGCGAAAGTTATGCAGGTAATAATATATGTAAGAACTTTAAAAAGCTTTTCAAATCAGAATAATTGTCTTAAGTCTTAACACTCATTGTCTACTACAGGACACTATGTTCCTCAACTTGCAAATCTCATAGTTAAGTCGAAAGCCAAGATCAATCTCAAGGGAATCGCAGTGAGTAAAATAAATGATAAATCCAAGGGTAAAATGGTCATTTATTCTCGTTCAGACCGTTAACTAGCTTATCATTTTTTGTGTAGATCGGTAACCCACTATTGGAATTTGATACGGATTTTAATTCAAGAGGGGAGTATCTCTGGTCTCATGGTTTAATATCGGATGCTACATATGACTTATTCAATAAAGTTTGTAACTACTCAACCATAAGAAGACAAGCCCAATACAAGTCTATGACCCCTAAATGCTCTCAAGTCTCAAATCAAGCTTCAAGAGAAGTCGGTCGATTCATTAACTCTTATGACATCACTCTCGACGTTTGTTTATCAAATGTTTTCTCCCAATCACAAGTTCTCCTCAATAACTTCGTAAGCTTAACCAACTTTTTTTTTCTCTCTCATCTGTGTAAAAGACATAAATACCCTCCTGACTGTTGTTACATGACAGCAAGGTACAGAGACAAAGATAGATGTTTGTGTGGAGGATGAAACGATCGAGTACTTGAACCGAAAAGATGTTCAAACCGCTTTACATGCTCGGCTCATGGGTGTCAGCCAGTGGGGCCCGTGTAGCGAGTAATACACGAATCTCGAGTTTATATATTAATTAAAAATTCCGTGTTAATTATATATTAATGATATTATTATTTTTTTGTAAATAACAGGGTTTTGAACTATGACATGCACAATTTAGAGATACCAATGACTCCTGTGTTGACTTCCCTACTCAAGTCTGGTATTAGGGTTTTTGTTTACAGGCGAGTAAATATATTTATTTTTATTTTTTTTACAGATACAAAACAATTTTCACTGCTATAATTTTTTCATTAAATTAATTCTTTCAGTGGTGATCAAGATTCGGTCCTACCTTTAACCGGGACCCGAGTAGTGGTGAACAGTTTGGCTAAGGAATTACGGTTGAACACAACTTTGCCTTACAGGGCATGGTTCAATGGCAACCAGGTTAGTTTAATACTTTAATTCCAACTTTTTTTTATAAATTTGTTTACATTTATTTATTTCTATGTGTTTTTTTATTTAATTAAGTTAAATTTATTTTTTGTAGGTTGGTGGATGGATACAAGTATATGGTGATGTTTTATCTTTTGCAACGATAAGAGGGGCAGCGCATGAAGCTCCATTTTCTCAACCGGAGCGATCACTTGCTTTGTTCAAAGGGTTTTTGGGTGGAAAACCGTTGCCACAAGCAAATGAAATCAATAAAAAGGGTGATCTTGTTAATACAGTAAACCGTGTATTGTGAAATTAGGGTGATGAAAACCAGTTTCACATGTCTCTTTGACCCTTTGGGTTTTAAGGAATAATTAAATAAAGTGTAACGGATGTTTTGTGACATGCGTCTTGAATGAGGCTTAATGGAAGTTTGTTTGTCGGGTAATTTGAGGAATTTAGGAGTCATGAACCTTTCGTTTTGGGGGATTTGAGTGGTTGAGAACAAATATGATAGGAGCTCCGAAAGGATGGATTTCATATCGATTCTTATGTGTCCGTAACTACTATGTTATTATTGATGATATTTTACTTATTTATAATACTTAAGTTATTATTGAGATAGTAATTTGACATTTGATAGATAACATAAGTATCAAAATAGACAAAATAAAATTTTAATTTTATTTAATAAAATGAACTTTTAGAATAGTTTAGATATTATATCGTAAATATAAAAAATATACATTATATTTAGATATGGATAAACTGTAAGCATAGTGTATAAATCGTCATTTTTTAAATATTCAAGTCATATAATTACTAATTTCATTGGTGTTATATTTCTTAGCATGTAATTATTTGTTT